CCGTCAAGAAAGTGTGTCTCCCCACTACCAAGCATCAAGAGCTCCCGAGGGCCTTGCAGAAGGAAGTCCTCGACAAGACAGATTTCCCTTTCCCTGCTTGCCACACCTCCCCAGGCCTGCCCATGACAGAAATGCCAAGCCCAGCCCCAGGATGTAGGTCCTGAGCTTGTTGGGGCACAGAATTTCTTGAGAATTCTAAGGAAAGTCAGGAACTTTTCCTTAGAAAAACCAGTATGCCCTCAAAATTCAGCTCCAATTTCTAGGGGTAGAGGGGAATCTCTGAACCCCAGGCTAAGAACCCCTTTTCTAGTATGCTGACTTCTCCATAAGAATGACCATAACCAGTCTCAAAATTCAGCTCCAATTTCTAGGGATGGGGGGAATCTCTGAACTCCAGGCTAAGAACCCCTTTTCTGGTATGCTGACTTCTCCATAAGAATGACCATAACCAGGAAATGGGGTCACTGACTCCTGTCCAGGCACGAACTGGACAAATTACACACATTAGTTTAATATTCCTCACAAGAAATCTGAATGTAACACTACTCTCATTTTGCAGATAAGAAAATTGAGTCCCAGGGTCATGGCCTTACTCAAGTACACAGAGCAAGGTTTAATGAATAGTTTCTGTCCTTCCCTTCACTTAGAAGAGCTCTTCGAGTCCTCTCTCTGCCCCCTTGTGAGATGAATGAATGGGTGAATGAATGGATGAATGGATGGATGAATGGATGAATGGATGGATGAATGGATGAATGGATGGATGGATGGATGAATGGATGGATGAATGGTCTGTCATGGGCTCAGGAGCAGGGCTGCAGGTGGGTTCAGCCGAGGGGAACAGAGAACAGGGCCACTGGTGATGCAGGGGTGTTAGGCTCTGACCCCGTTTCCATTGCTGCCCCTCAGTCCATGTCCTATTCCCCTCCTGCCTGCCAGGGCTGCCCCGGACTCTGGGACATGTGTCTACAGGTGTGAGTGTCCCTCAGAGCACAGGCCCACTGCAGAAGGCAGCAGACACTGATGGCCACTGCGGCCAAGGTTGGGGCATCCATACCGAGATGAATGATCACTCCACAAGGAAGCCACCTTGGACACGAGGGACGGCCTGTTCTAGTGCTCACTTGGAAGCAAGTATGTGGAGGAGGTCAAAGTACTGACAGCTGTATCGAGAACATTTTGTGTCACCAGTGGGCGCAGCCCAGCCCAAGGTAGGGCCCCCCTGAGATGAAAGTTATTGTAATCCACCTCTTGGTCACCACGGCTGACTGAGTGTCCAGGAAGGCCTGGCACTGGGCCAGGGACTCGGAGGCACAGAATCCTCAGTTGCCTCATCGAGGTGAGGGCTCCATGGTCAGCCCCATTCTGCAGGTTGGGAAACTGAGGCCCAGAGAAGACAGGCGACCTGTTTCCTGCCAGCAAGTGGCAGCTCCGGGAGTCCCAGCCTGGACTCCTGCTCCTCAAGCCTGTGCTCTGAATCTCTGGGCTCATCCCCAACCTTGACCCCATGGGCTTCTCATCCTCCCACACTGCCCTCCCTCCCCCTCATCACAAAAACCTTTTGTCTTGCTCTCAGGGACAGACCAGTGTCCCCCTAATTGGTTCCTCTGCTTCCTACCTGTCCTCCCAGTCCACCCTCCCGTCAGCCGTCTCTCTGAGATCCCCCTGGGTCCTGTTATTCTCTGGCTTAAAAGGCTTTGAAAGTCAAGAGGTGAGGGGGCAAATGGGAAGCTTTCGATAACCATCCAAGCCTTAAAAAACAAGGCGGGACTCTCCAATCGATTTTTCTGTAAACCGAAGACCGCTCTTAACAAGAGACTATTAATTAAAATAATGACTTTTTTTTTTAAACTTTAAAAATGTCTGTACCCTTGACCCTGCCAACCCCTTTAGGAATTTATTACGAGGAAACGGTCAGACCAGAGGACAGAGTCATATACGAAGATGCTCGCTGCAGTGCCATGTGTCACAGTGAAAAACTGGAAACCCCCTAAGTGGCCAATAATAAGGAAATAGTTAAATAAATGGTGGTGTATCTGTATGGTGTTAAATTTTCTAGTAGCCACATTTTTGAAAAGTCAAAAGGAACAGGTGAAATTAACTTCAACAACAGATTTTAGTTAACTAAAAATATCAAAATTAATCATTTCGACATGTAACCAACATTTTAAAAATTAGCAGTAAGAGAGTGTGCATGTTTTTTCATGTCTTCCAAATCCTGTGTGTAATTTACACCTCCCGCACACCCATCACACCTGCATTTCAAGTGCTTGTAGGCTGGAGGCCCGTGTGGCCAGTGGCTGCAGCCCTGGACAGCGCTGCTCTACAAGGTGAGGTTCCAGCTCCTCAGGTGCGGAGGCAGCTTGGCGACTAGGCTCCGCCCACTTCCGGGGTGCTGTCACGCGCACCCCCTCCAGCCACACAGAACCGCTCCCAGCTCCGGACTCCATTACTCTGCAACCCCGCCCCTTTCTTCAT